CTCTTCTCTCTCTCTCTCTCCCTCACCCTCATGCATGCATTCTCATGTGAATAATGTACAGTACATGTGTTCTTTGCATGAGGGAGTGGTAAATTTGACGGCACATATATATATAATTATTTTCTCCATTTAATAAAATAAATTATTAATTTCATTAATAAACTAATATGTACATGTACAGTGTATATGAAATAATTATTCAAAGACTAATCTGTCTTCAATAGTTTTATAATAAGGTAAAGAATAACAAGTTTGTTTATGTTTCTTATCTAGAGCTAGTTTCCATAGTGTATTATTGGTCCTGAGAGATTCCATCAGTACCAGTACTCCATCAGTGTCAATGTTAGTACTGTCCAGCCTCAGGTAAGATAGTGCGTGGTTGTAGAGTAAAAGTTCAGCTAGTGACTGAGCACTGGTTGAAGTGATGTTAGGATTGTAGCTAAGATAAAAATAAGTAATTTTTCTATTATTAATTAATGATTGTGTTAGTGCAATGACCCCATCATCATTGATGGAATCAGAGCTGATTGATAGTGTATCTAATGAAGTATTGTTTGTTATTTTGTGTGACAGCAAGAGGATGACATCTTTTGTTATTTTAGTATATTGTATATTAATCCCCTTTATTGTTCTTATGTCTAGTACTAGTGACATCAGTACATATACAATATCAGGTGATGAGTGATTGAGGTAAATGTCCTGATGACTGTTTGTTAATTGACTGATCACTTCCTGACATTGACTTGCTGATGGTTTAGTGAGGATTAATTCATGACTGGTCCACTTTACCTCTCCAGTCTCTTCTCCTAATAATAAACACATGCAGTCAGTGAGTTAATGTGTATATTATTATTTTAATACAGTATAATAGGTAAAATGATAATTATTATATTATTTTGTTTGTAGGTGATGCTAGTTTTTGTACCAGTAAGTCATTACAGGTGCTAGGATGGAATGGGTGTGGTCTATCTTTTATCATGTGACAGTAAAAAAATCAGTTGTACGTTTTATTAATGTATTAGAATCAGTAATTATTGTCCCTCCCTTTTTCTCTCTCTCTTTCTAGTCCTTGGTCCATTATGCCAGTATTATAATTCTGTGGACAAATAGAACTTCAAAGTATAAGCTAATGTAAGCATATAGATGTACCATATGCATGTATCTGGTATTTTATCTGTTTAGATATTTTGCGTTTGAATGATATTTCTCAATTTTACAATTTTTTGTAGTTTTTATTGCTGTTTTTGTGATCCTTATTATAAAATTTTACTGCCAAACTCAATCACTAGTACTCCTATACAATGGGACATTAAAGTGTCTCTGTTATACAGAGGTGTCCTTTATGTGGAGGTTATTTTATACAATAAGGAATGTAATTGGTACACTAGGTGCTGTCCATTAGGAGTTGTGCACTATAGAGAGTGTTTGTTAATAGAGGGTTTACTGTATTAATGGTATTGTGATATGGTGCATTGACATTTATGCATACATGTACATGTTGAACTTAGCGTACATTCTCACATTACTGAGATACTCATGCTGTTCTTTCATACACTCAGTTGTGTTTCACTTCTGGTCTATATCTGGTTACTATACAATTCAAATCCCGGTTCCCAATGTTACAGGTATATTATGTGTATGTGTATTAGTATTAGTATCAGATACATGTAACTCACCTCCACTATGTATTTCTCTGTGTCCTCTTTCCTTGGCTATTTCTACTGCACTCTTTCCTCTCTCATCCTTACTGTTAGGATCAGCTCCTAACTGCAGTAGAATTGATACTTCAAAACTATCACCAGCTTTAACTGATTCATGGAGCAAGATGTCAAAATTGTCATCATCTTCTCTTCTGATAGGAATCACTTTATTGTCAACAGCAACTTCCAATATTCCTAATCTACTCATTGAGTTTGTTTTGTTATTGATAGCATCAATAAGAGACTGTGATAATGAGATTGGTATTAACAGTGTAATAATGACTG